ATGTACATAAACTAATTTAATGCATAATTCAGATAGAAACCAAACGAAATGAAAAAAAAATATGAGAACCAAATTTATATTTTAATAGTCATTTTCATGTAATCTTATTTTATAATATTTAGTGCTAAAATAGAATTATGCTTTAACCTATTCAGTAATGATGTGATCTTAATATATAGTATGACATTATCACAATATTAATAATTAATGGTTTAGGTATTATGTAACTTTTAAGTACCTTTTTTTTCCTATAATTGTAGTGATTTTATATAATAATTAAATAACTAGTTACAGAACTAAAATAACATTAATAACATAAAATAATAAAGAAGAACTAAGAAAATAGTAAATCGAGAATTTAATAAAACACTATTAAGACTTCCAAATCAAACCAAAACGAAGCACCAAACAACAATTCCATAAACAAAATCAAAGTTAAGAAGTAAAATAATCATATGAAATATTGTATAAGATTTAATCTTTGATTATAATGCTCTTAACAAGTAAACCCAGAGACACAGAAGAAATAATAATAACTAGTATTTTGATAAATCTATTATCTATAATAATATATAACTTTAATACGAACCCAACATGATTAACAATGAAATTTTGCTATTAACTCATCTATGTTATCAAGTTAATGGAGTAGAAAAATATAAATCATCAAAAAACCGCGATCTGATATAGTTATCATATATATATATTTTTTTACCATACATTATTGTCATATGTACTATACTTTTATCACTTGTTATATTTTGTATATTTTGTTATTGAATATGTGCAATGCTATATTTTTTTATAATTTAATAAGTGAAAATATAAATAATTTTTTTTAAAAAAAATAATGTTAAATGTGAAATTTAACAAAAATGAATAAATAAATTGTAAAGGGAAAATTTCCTCTATATACTACTCAATCTATATATTATGAACTCGTTATATGTATTATTATTTTTTATATGTATAGTTTGGTGTGTATTTATTTATATTATTATTAATTAATATGCATGTTTTGCTAAGATTTTATTTATTTTTAAAAAATTCTTAATAACTGCTTAGTTGATTGGTGGAAAGAGTGTGGGACCCAGAGGTAAGAAAAAGCACGTGCTAAGATTTATTGGAAAAGAGAAATGTGGGACCCACAAACTGACCATGTGATCCTAATGGCTAATGGCTATGTCACCTATCTCCATAGCCCCTTCCCATGTGCGCCGCTGCAGGGTATCCCACTTCCCCCCTCTTTTCTTTTTTATTTCTACTTTATAATTTCCATTTATACTTCAATTTGACTAATTAATTTGTCTTAAAACATTTACTAATTATTTAATAACTAAAGTTTTCATCATTAATAATTAATTATAAATTAAATTAATAAAATTAAATTAACATCCATTTGTCTAATTTCACAATTTTTATAATTTTGAATATAATTTTCATATATTGTAAGTAAAAAAATATATAAATTATTGAAATTTAATTACCGTAATATTCTTGAAAATTAAGCTAATAACATAAACATTAATTTAATTATTAAAATTTAATTCAATGAAGATCTACATTTTGTTTAAGTAAGATTTCTTGTGTAGAATTTTGACACTTGGTTGCCCTACAAAGAATCAGAATTTGTTCTTACCATTAAAATACTCAAACCCTAAAAAATAATATTTAATTCAAAAAATAATTAATATTCTAAAATAATTTTTTTAAAAAAATTTGGTAAATGGGTTATGATTGTTCATCTTTATAATTTAATGATTAATATTTATTTACCCAAAAAAAATATTATTTACTTGAATAAAATAATAAAAAAACTCAATGATTCATAGATCATGATAATGAGAAAATAAATTACAAAAATCAATGATTATTAATTAAAATAACAAAACCCAATGATTATTAATCAGAAATATATATATATATATGTATATATATATATAAATGGGTAGTTAATTAATTAAATTATTTTCATGGGGCGGTGGTTAAGCACGAGATTATAATAGTGGAGCTCAAATAGATTAGTGTTTTAATGAGGGTAGGATTATATTTAATAAATATGCATTATGTTAGATTTAAAATTTAATTTTTTGATTAGGAATAATAATTTTTTGATTACATACTACAGATAAAATTTGATAAAATAATATTATAAGTTGATTCCGGGTATAATTCAAACCAAATGTTTTATGATTCATATATCTATTAACAAATAAAAATACATTACTTACGTATAATTGAGAAATTATATACATTAACTGAATTTGTACAGTTATGTATCAACTACGTAAATTATAATAAAATTTTAGATCTGAGATAATTAAATATTAATAATATAAGATAATTAAATATATATAAACAAAATATTTTAGAGGTAAAAGAACAATTCATGTGA